TTGTTTGAGCACTTTCTGCAAGGACAGCACCAGTTCGGGCTGAAGGAGCGCAGTGTTACTTTTCCTGAATCACACTTGTGGATGTTTCCGTTCCTCTCCTTTGCTCGAGGTGCTGCTGTGCTCTGGGGGACCCCTTCCAGCCTGTGCTGCCGTGAGCAGTAGCTGCTGTGGGGCAGGCACTCCTCTCCAAGAGCAGCTTGTCTGTACTGAAATCTGAGGACCACGGTTACTGGGCTGATAAAACCAGGACTGGTTCTACAAACCAGGTGAGAAATCTTGTGTTGTTGGAGAGGCTGTGTGGCCACTAGTTGTTTGGCTTATAAAGCACTTGCACCAGGTGAGATTTTGTGTGTCCCTGTGGTTGATGCTGGGCCTGCGCTAGCAAGAGCCCCCCGGAAAGGAAGAGATGATGCTTAGAGCTTTTGTGCCATGGGACCACAGCAGGCTTTGGCTATGGGGAGCTATGGAAGATCCTTTCAACTGTATGAAGGGTGAAACCTCCTCTTCTGTGCCAAGCTATTTTTCATGCTGTGTTGTCCTTCCTGAGTCCTTAAGTGCAGCCACAGTAAACCAGCTATCCATGTACTCTCACATACTATTGTGTGGCCATTCTCCGTGCCAGCAAATCCTTGGCTGCCACCTTCTTCAACAGAACTGTCTAAAGTAGAAAATTAGCCCTTCATCACCAGATAATATTGAAGGAAAACTGTATGACCAAGGCTTGGTGGAGATACAGTTGTTCAGAGCTGCTTGGCGCAGATAAGCATGTCTTACACCTATGTGGGAGGTGTAAGTGCTTCTAGCTTTTGTCACTGTTCCTGACCCTATCTCTCTCTGGATTACCTTGCTCCCCATTTTCTGGTCCTCTTTTCTTTAGCTGCTCTATCCCATCATTGATGCATTATCGCCCATGGTCCTATCAGATCTAATAAAGATGGTCCAAAATGTTCTAGAGGAGTCAGGACAGTTCCTGCAGAGCCGGGAGGCACCTGGTGCAAAACCCCCCGAAGAGGTCTTCTCCTTGGTCAAAAACTGCTGGCAGTGCAAATACTGCCAAACAAACCCTTTATTGAAATCAGCGAAGAATGGGAAAGTGTTGATTTCAATGACATTTTTCAATGGTAGTGTGGGGAGGGAAGTCAGCAATATTTTTTTTTTGTGTGTGTGCTTTTGGCTAGTGTTTGAAATTGCCTTAGGAAAAGAAAGATCAATTAAATCTTATTGTATAATATGCAAGTTTAAGTGAAATTAAAGGGAAAAATTGAAAGGAAATCTGTTGAGGAGCTGCTAATTGAAGCAGGTTTGAATTTGCCTTGTAAGAAACATCAACATTTTAGCTGTCCTTGTTGTGATTTGTAGCAAGTCTCCCCAAACTGTTGGAATTTCCCACAGAACAGATGTTCAGCCTCTTAATTTGTGCTTCATCAGCAAACGCTTGAATTTCCAAAGCTGTGTTTCCCTCCTCAGCTGGAGGGTGACAGGAGCCAGAGGAGCCATCCCAAACCAGGGCTTGTCTCACTAGAGGTGTCGGTGTGCCCATGCCAGAAGGCTCCTGAAGACTCCAGTGAGTGTGTGCTCCTTTTGTGTGAAGGCTGCTCCATAACCAGTAGCCTCATTAAATGAGGCCTGAGCACACTGGCAAATGCTCCCATGCACAGAATTAATCCATGCACTGACGTTTGCAAGCATTTAAAGTGAGTGATGGAGAGGAAGAGAAAGGTAAAACGTGTCTGAAGTATGTTCCATGCAAGGCAATGCTAAAGCCCAACACTGTGGGTTTTTTTCCCTGTGCCTACCATTAGTGAATATGAAAGGCAGGTCCTGCTTGACTAACCTTACCTTCTTCTATGACACGGTGACCTGCCTAGTGGATGAGGGAAGGGCTGTGGATGTTGTCTACCTGGACTTCATAAAGCCTTCGATCCAGTTTCCCACGGCATTCTAATGAAACAACTGGTAGCTCATGGCTTGGGCGGGCATAAACTGTGCTGGGTAACAACTGGCTGGATGGCTGGGCCCAGAGAGTGGTGGTGAATGGACCTAAATCCTCTTGGTGACCCGTCACAAGCGGTGCTCCCCAGAGCTCAGTATTGGAGCCACTTCTGTTCAACAAAGCCTTCGATCCAGTTTCCCACGGCATTCTAATGAAACAACTGGTAGCTCATGGCTTGGGCGGGCATAAACTGTGCTGGGTAACAACTGGCTGGATGGCTGGGCCCAGAGAGTGGTGGTGAATGGACCTAAATCCTCTTGGTGACCCGTCACAAGCGGTGCTCCCCAGAGCTCAGTATTGGAGCCACTTCTGTTCAACATCTTTATTAATGATCTTGATGAGGAGATGGAGTGCACCCTCAGTAAGCTTGCAGATGACACTAAGTTGGGTGGAAGTGCTGATCTGCTTGAGGGCAGGAAGGCTCTACAGAGGGATCTGGACAGGCTGGAGCAATGGGCCAAGGCCAATGGTATGAAGTTCAACAAGGCCAAGTACTGGATCCTGCACTGGGGTCACAACAACCCCAGGCAATGCTACAGGCTTGGGGAGGAGTGGCTGGAAAGCTGCCTGGTGGAAAAGGACCTGGGGTTGTTGGTCAACAGCCAGCTGAATATGAGCCAGCAGTGTGCCCAGGTGACCAAGGGCATCCTGGCTTGTATCAGAAATGGTGTGGCCAGCAGGACTAGGGGAGGGACCGTCCCCTTGTATTTGGCAGTGGTGATGCTGCATTTTGAGCACTGTGTTCAGTTTTGGGCACCTCAGTATAAGAAATACATGGAGGTGCTGGAGTGATCCCAACACAGCAGGGCTCCTGCATTTGCCCATTCCTTGGATTTTCAGATGGCCTTTTCGTCTGTGGTGCTGTATTATTTTGGAAAGTAGGAGCTGAGTTGTGTCTCCTTTCAGTAAGAAGAGAAACACAGGAGAAGGAAGGGCATATCTCTGGATGGTGTGGCATGGTGTGACTTTGTCCTTGGGACTGTCATGCCCATACTGGGGGCGGGTCCAGAGAAGGGCAACTAAGCTGGGGAAGGCTCTAGAGCACAAGTCTTGTGAGGAGCAGCTGAGGGAACTGAGGTTGTTTAGCCTGGAGAAAAGGAGGCTTGGGGGAGATCTTATATGTCTATACAACTAGCTGAAAGGAGGTTGTGGGGAGGTGAGTGCTGGTCTTTTCTCATAGGTAACAAGAGATAGGACAAGAGGAAATGGCCTCCAGTTGTACCAGGACAGGTTTAGGTTGGATATTAGGAAAAACATCTTCACTGAATGGATTATCAAGCACTGGAATAGGCTGCCCAGGGGACTGGTTGAATCACCATCCCTGGGTGTGCTTAAGTCATGTAGATATGGTGCTCAGGATCATGATTTAGCAGTGGACTTGGTGGAGTTAGGTTTATGGTTGGACTTCATGATCTTAAAAGTCATTTCCAACCTAAATGGTTCTGTGATTCTATGATGCTATGATCTTGCCAGAACAAAAGCTGAGGTGGGTGGATAAGGACTCGTAGTGTCTGGCTCTTACCTTCTGCCTGCATGACAGCTCATATCCTCCTAGCGCTGTACCTGAGCTAAAAAACAAGGATCAGGCACAGCATCTGGGAGGACTCTAGGGCCAAAGTGTTGTGGGGCAACCAGGATTGGCTAATGCAGAATTGTGGTGTGACACATGACCCAGCCTGGCCTTGTGCCCCTTCTCTTCCAGTCATCTGCAGCAGGGGTGGACAGATACACATCCCTGCACATCCCTGATACACATGACATATCCTGGTCTTCTCATCTTACTCAGCTGAGCTCCCTGCTCCCTCTGTGTGGGATTTCTGTCGGGGTTCCTGTCTCCCGTGACTGCGTGCAGAAACCCCTTCTCCTTAGAACACTTGCATAGCTCACCTGCCCCCTTCGCCCTGGGGTGTCCTCCACTAGCTCAGAACTGCTGTTCAGGTGGTAGGATTTGGCTTTCAACCCAGCATCTCCTTCAGTGCTGGAAGCAGCTGCTTTAGACTCTGCAATGTTGGTGCCTATCAAGTGGGGAAATCCAGAGGTCAGATTTGGCTGGCAACAACATCTTGCCCTGGTTTCTGCAGGCTGTGATTGAAGTGAGCCTTCATTTACAGCTCTGGGGTCTCACACTGGCCAGTTGTGCCTGGCTGCCATGGTGCTGAACCTCTGCTGGGCTGAATCCCGTGTGTTCCAGACATGAGGTGTCATGCTGGGGAGACGTCACGACAAGCTGTATTTATACAGGCTGTTGCTTGGCAGTGCTGTTCCAAGGTGCATCAACATAATGAGATACATAAAAGGGGAAGGCAGTTAAATGTGCAATAACATCACAATAAAAGTAAAACTGAGCATTAATGAAAAATCTGAGCACACTAAGTGCAGTACAGTCAAACACTCCCACTACTTTGGGCCTCAGTGCCCGAAGTTAATAATAATTTCTGGCAGTGTCATTACCAGAATTAAACGAGGGCCTAACTATCCAGAAAAAGATGTCTGGAAAAAAATGGGTCTTGATACTTTGCTGTGTGGGTGTCCCCAAGGCAGCACAGGTAGCAGGGGAACTGGGAACTGCTGCAAAGGCAGGGCAGGGACTGGGAGCAGGAGGTGAGGAGGAAGCGATGGGTGGAAGAAGTGACTGTGGTCATTTTGGAAGTGGAGCTGTGCACCTCTGCCAGTTGCTGAAGCGCCTGGGGAGCTGCTAGATGTGCTCTGAAGATGGGCTGAGGGTTTGTATGTGTATGTACAGGCTTAGCTCTGACCCCATGTTGCAGCTTCTCCAGGGTCAGCAGTGCTGCAGAGAATGGTGCTGCCCTTGGTCTCTGGGACTTCAAATACAGAACCCCAGCAATCCTGACTACTGCCTAACATGGGTGAGCTGCTGGGGAGAACTGAAGTAAATTAATTGCTTTCCTCCTAGCAAATAAACTCTCTTTTCTCTCCTCCCCCCTCCCTCTGTGCCCACCCTGGCAGGTTTTGGAGGCTCGGCTGCTGGTCGCCGCGTGCTGCTGCCATGGCGCTGAGGCTCCCGGGAACAGGGTCGCTCTCGCTCCTTAGCCTTGGAGTCCTAGTCCTGGGCTTGGCTCTCTCTGCTGATGCTGGGTAAGGGTGAGCACTGAGGCTGTTCGCTGAGGCTGCAATCCTCTTGCTGTGCTTAGATATCCCAGGGCCAGTACCTGTGTGAAGTAGTCCAGGGCAAAGCCCTAAGTGTCTCTGCTCTTTTTGACCCTCCCCTTGCTCCCATCCCCATGCCTTTCACCTGGGGACAGTTCAGTCCCTCATGGCTGAGCTAACTGATTACTTTAGCATTATTTGAGGTGCTCTCACTAAGGATAGTTGTCAGCAATTTTTGCAACAAAACCAATTTTCAGATTTGGCCTCTGCACAATTCACTCTAGGCAAGGATTTGGCTTGGATGAGTTTTAACCTGGAAGAGAGACTCCCCTCCCTTTACTCTTTTAATACGCTTGTAAAGAAGAGAAAATGAAAACTCTTCAGCTGTTTGGCTTTGTAAGGGATAACAGCCCACAAGCAGCATACCTGAGCTGCTGCAGCGCAGCAGGGCTCTGGCCAGCCCTGGCCAGGCATGCAGCTCACCTTTTGCCTGGGTCGGGGTCCCTGGCTGTGCAGACTCTGGCTGTTCTGCCCCAGAGAGTGCTGCCACCAGCCTCTGGGAGATGTCGGGAGAAAAGGAAAGCCTGTTAGTCCATGACAGGCTCCTCAGCCCTCCGCTGCATCCTGCTGGAGCCTCTGCTGTGGCTTGGTGAGCTTGGAGAGCCCTGTCGAGGAAGGGCAGCAGAGAAGACACCCCCAGCACAATCTGCTGGCCACAGGGAGGGTGGAGCTCTGTGCAGAGGGAGAGAAATGCAAATAATACATGACTTCTATAAAAAATTTAGAAAAGCCTTTAGCGTGCCAGGTGTGGACATTGAAATGCTGTCTGCTGAGTTGTAAGTCCAGCAGCACTAAAGGATTTTCATGCAGGAAAAAAATCAGAGTGCTGCTACTCCTGCTTTACCCATGCAGCCCTTTGTCCTGCTGCAGGCTCCTACCCCGTCCTACCCACCACGCATCACCCACTTGGATCTGGCTTTGCATAAGCAAATATATCCTGAGAATGCCGTGGCATTCTTGGGTAGATGCTGAGCTTGCTGTCGACCCTGTGCACGGGCAGAGGCAGCCCCAGGCACCGGCCTCTGTCTGTCCCCTGCAGCCCGCTGGGCAGGGTCTCCGTCCTGTGCTGGCTGCGGTGGGGTGTCCCCAGCCCGTGTCCCCCCCAGGCTGCCCCCGCGTGTCCCAGCACACCCCCACACACACACCCTGCCCGGGGCGTCCCGCTGGGGCCGAGGGATTGTTTCCTAAGCTGCATACAAGGCCCCACGTTCCGAGGCTGGCGTGCCTTCTGCCTCTCCAGAGAGCGTCTGCCCAGGGACAGGTGGTGAGGTAATGACTTTTCTTCAAGCCTAGCCTAATTAAATTTGCTGCAAACCTCTGTCTTCCCGGCCTAAAGACTTTTAATTATCTTAAACCCATGATCCCCACACCTCTTCTCAGTCCTTTGAGTTCTACCCTGGGCTTTAGGAGAGATAAATGAGACCTGTTTTTATGCCCTGCTAAAGGGCAGCTTTATCTTTATGTTAAGGTGTGAGCCAGCCTAGACCTCAGCTGGGCTGGGGAATTAGCCTAAATCAGTGCCAGGCAGAGGTGCTGCTGGCTCTTCCCTGCCTGCACCTTCCCTTGCCCTGCCTGTGCCCCTCTTTTCCTGGCACTTCCTGAGTGAATCCCACACTGCTCACACTGAAGTGGAAACCTCAGGTGTCAGGCTAAGTAAAACAGCTTTGGAATTTATAAACTCTTTTTTCCCATCACTGCTGAGCCTCGTCCAGGAATTCCTTCACAAAAATCTGTCTTCTCACTCTTTATATTACAGGTGATTTTTAAAGATAGGTTATAAAACATTAATGAATGAGCTTTCACGAGCATTCTAGCTATTCATATGTTCTAGATGGTTATATACCCATCAGCAGGCACTGGTACAGATTGCTTTTAACCATGACATCTTTTGAAAGCCAGTACAATTGAAGCCTCACTAATTACAGGAGGCATTTGTTAAATTCCTCAAAATTCTACTTACCTGAAGGGTGTTCAGCTATTTCAAATATTTCAAGTCCAGCTGAAAAACCCAAACCAGTGTTTTGATTTGAATGGGAATACAGTTAGTAGTGTCAGCGTGAGGTTTCGGATCTGACAAGTTGCAGTAGGGCTGGGCTGGGTGTTTTCCTGAGCATGCTTCACTTCACCACACCCTATGGGAGCTGCAGTTTAAGTGCTTTACTATCCTCTTTGGGCTTTTGTAGGCTGAGCTTCCTGGCCTCACCACTTCTCCCATGATAGATATTGGTTTTCTAAAAACCAGAGGCCAAGTGGCCTTGTGAGAGGTGGGATCTGAAGTTGAATATTTCAGTTAGTTGCAGCATACTGAATAGTATTGGTTCATCCTGACTTTACAAATGCCCATACTCCACTCCATTTTTCCTCTTTTGCTAGAAAATACTTCTCGTTCTTTTATCTTACAGAAGCTGGGTTTTCTGTTGGGAGAAAATTTTGATAGAAAACTCTAGGCCAGCTCTGGTACTTGTCACCCTACTGACCCTTCACAGGGTATTTACAAATGGACCAGGAATGTCAGGGGTAACTAGTCTAACCCAATGAGATGCAGCAGGATTAAACTTTGAACTCCTTAAATTATATTCTTCTTTCTCTCTCCCACTCCCCAGTTACTTCCTGATCCATGCTTAAACCAGGAGCTGCACACATCAACTGGAGCAAGGGAGAATGAAGCTGGGGAGGAGAAGGGACAAAAGTGTTAGAAAGCAGCAATTTAGGAGCTTGTCCTCCCTCGGCTGTGGTGAATGGGACCTTGCTTCAGAGGGTCATAAGTGCCCTCCTGGGGAGTTCCACAGTCTTGCACCACAAGTGTCTCTCTAGTTTGCTGCACCCGTGGGCTTCATCTGGGCATGCTCCCCAGGGACTTCCCTCTCCAGTTAGTGGCATGGGACTGATCTGCCAGTCAGGGCTGCCCTGCTCCTGAGGGGTTCCTGGTGCTGCTGCTGAGGATCTCTGTGCTCCCTTTTCTCCCCCTGCCTGACTGGGCTTCCTCAGCTATCCCACTGCTTGTCTGTGCCTTTTAATCTTTTTTTTTTTTGCCTCATTGGTGTTTCTTTTGCTTCCTCTTCCATCTTCCTTGCAATCTCTGCATCTCTATAGATTTTTCTTCTAGTTTTCTGTTACTTAATTTTCTGCCTTTCCATTTGTTTTGCTCCTAACAGCTATTTCTGCTGGGGAAAGCTGTGCTTGAAGCCACAGCACCAGTACTCTGTGTTATTTGAAATCTCTTTTAGAAGCAGCCAGTTTCAGAAGGATTCACAGGCTCCTCTTCTGTTGATTGAAAGGGAGACACAAAATGCAAATGTATTATTAGAGCCCCTTGGGCTTGCAAAACTGTATTGAAGATTTTGTTTGGTGTGATGAGCTTTGTTTGAGAAATTTACTACTTATTTTATTCTACCTAGGGCATAAAATGCCCTGAGGAAGTCATCTTATTCGAGGGCTTCTAGACTTCTTGTGTTGAGGAGAGATAGGAACGTGAAAACTCATTTGGTTTGATAAACAGGGAGAGTTCAACAAACTGCAGAAATGGTTCACGAAGAGTTTTAATGATGGACTCCGGATTTACAGCCTGCTTTACTGAATTCCTGCTTTTCTGCCTCCATTTCCTCTTCCAGGAGCAGAAACCTTGGAAATGGCTCGATATGGTAAATAGCTGACAGCACTTCTTCCATGCAGCCTATAAGGAGATGCTGGCTCTTGAGTAACTGAGGTTCTCACAGCATCTGTTCATAAAATGTCCTTTCTTAGGGGCAGGCAAGGGATGCTCAGGCAGGGGAAGGCTCCCTGACAAAACAGGGCTTCTAAATGGCTACCCATAGTACTGCTGGCCCTGAGCTTGGAAAGGTGGGAAGAGGGTAACGGGGATGTCTCAGCTTCCACGCTGAGGGCTGTGGTGGCAGAGGCCAGAGGAGAGTTGATTTCAGATGCCCTGCAGGGAGTCCTGCAAGCTCATCAGCTTATCAGCAGGCGTGCCCCATCTTCCAGTCCAGGTCCCACTGCTGCACAGGCTGGAGCATGAACCAACATCCCTTCATTTCCAGGAACTGTTTAGAGCACATAAAGAGTAGGTTTCTCTTCTGACAAAGTTTTTTTTCCTCATTTTTCCCCCATATGCCAGGCTTTCTCAGAAGCACGTCTCAGATGTCGTTGATGACAGCAAAGACAACATCACCATTTTCACCCGCATCCTGGACAGGCTGCTGGATGGGTACGACAACCGCCTGAGGCCCGGACTTGGAGGTCAGTTGGGTGGAGAGATGGTGTCTCCCACAGCTCTGCAGCTTTAGAAGGGGGAGGCTGCACAGGTGACTTTTTAGTAAGTCTGGTGCTTGGAAGCTGGAAAGACGAGTTGTTTCAGTGACTGATTCGATCTGTTGCCGCTTTCCCCATTTTGAGTCTGTGCTATCGTGGTGTTTGATATTTTGTGAGATGAGAGGAGCAAGTCTCTGACTGCTGTGGTCTTCTATGACATTACATTGATAGGCCTGTAGATGGAGCAAATATGATTAAACATATTTCTGCTACTTCTGTAGGCATTATTATTTCAGTAATGATGAACCTACCAGTTTGCAGGACCTTCAGTTTGTGTCATGTTGCTTTTTAGTCAGTGGGTTTTGTTACAGAGCCTCTCTCTTGATATCTGCTCAGTTCTTTCCTATGTAGCTGTCACCTGGCAAGGTCTTTGCTTGCTGATCTGGGCACTGGGCAGTTAGTAAGGCTTTGCTGTCTCCCGAGCTGCTTTACCACCACTGCCGTTATACCTACTGCTGCTGAGTTTCTCTCCAAGTACCTAAAGCACCTATTCAAGGTGCTTCAGAAAGCAAAGCAACAGTAGTCACCTTCCCTCCAACGCTTATGGCGTACGTACAGTGTAATGTAAGGAGGCAGAAGCAGTGGGGAGATCTGTGCAAGACAGACATGAGCTTTATTGCTGAGAGGAGGGAGACATGGACCTGTGTGTTTTCTTGGTGCATGGCTGCCAAGGGACATTGCTGTTGCAGAGGAGGTGGCCCCTCTCAGGTGCCAGTGACTGTGTGCCACAGGGGCCGCTGAGGTGATGTCCCTGCACTGCTCTGAACTTTCCTGTTCAGCTGCAAATGTGTGCTGCTGGACCATGATTCCCACCCAAAGCTGAAATCACCATATGCTTCCCTGTTCCCTGAAGATCCCACTGCTAAGGGAGGTTGGGAATGAGCTTTCTCGAGCTCTTGTATGCTGACAGGAGCTGTGGTGATACAGTGCTAGTCTGGAGGTGCACCCTCCATTGCTCAGAGCAGCCTCCTTGTCTTGTCCCAGCCCCATGTCCACCTCTGTACCATGGCCCTCTGCCTTGCACCTGTCTAGGAGTACCTTCATCCCAGTCAGAGACTATGCAAAATCTGGGGAAGAAGGGTTTCTCCAGTGAGCATCCTCACCTCTGATGGGCTGCCATACTGCAGAAACTGGGCAGGAGGGGGTTACTGTGTCTGCATAAGCCATCCATCAGTTTTATTGCTTTTGTTGCTTGTTTCTTTCCCCCAGAATTAACTGGTCCCACTAATAGCTTTGCTTCTTCAAGTCTCCCTGATGGCTATATTGATTTAACTGGAATGAGTTCTGAAAGGGGACTGAGGGGGCATTTATGTTCACTGTAAGCTCAGTTGCAGACAACCCCATGCAAAGTATTAACAAGAGGACTCCCAGGAGCCCCTTGCTGGGGAAGTTAAAACCTTTCTTGGAATATCTCAGCTCTGTTGCTTTAGATCCTTTCATAACGTGCTTAACATAATAAATTGCCTTTGCCTGAACCAGGCATTTCATATTTAAAGACTTCTTTCACCTCTGATTTCCTCTCATGGAGCATTCCGACGGACCCAGATGGGAGATTTTGAAAAGGGCTACAGGTTTTGGGGACTCTTCATTAACGAGTTGTCCTCAGTGTGCATGTATGGGGCAGCCTTGTGAGTGAGGCTGTCCCCACTTTCAGTTGGACCTGTTTTCCACAGGTCTGGGCTTTTATTACTTGGAGGTCTGTCAGGGCTGCAATCAAGAAGAATATTAGAGGGGAAAACCTTTCCCAATGCTGCTGGTGGCCAGAGAAATGGAAATGGTCCTGCTGCAGACTCCAGACTTAGGGGTCAATTGAATAGTTTGGAGTGACAGTCAACAAGAGGTGGGCTCCTGCTGTCCAAGTTTGTGAGATCTGTGAAAGGGGTTGCCTTGCTTCAAGTTGTCAGCTGTGCTGCTGAGTGATTGAGTGACTTACAAGGTTTGCTGGTTTTCCTGGGAGACAGCATTGGGCAGTCCCTGCAGACACAGCACTGGCTTTCCCCTCTTCCCTCGGGAATATCTTCCTGTTGCTTTTCTGAAGGTGTGAGGTGAGAGCATCTCTTGGCACCAGGCAGTCCTGCTGAGGTGTCTGTGGAAAGGGCAGATGTGGGGGTAATACACCCGTGCACGGACTAAGGAAAAGGTGTACTGGCCTAAATTGTGGGTAGCCGGGAAGCAGAACATGCAGGCTTCTTTCCTGACCTTGGTTTCCCTGCTGTGTGTGAGAGATCCCCCTGAAAGCACGGGGCTGGGCTGGGCAGGGCTGGGTGGGGTGCAGGGCTGCAGTGGCTGCCCTGGTGCTCCCCCATTTCGGCAGAGCCGTTCCCCTCTGTGCCAGGAACTGAGCAATGTTTATTTAAGCTTCGGAAAAAGAGACTGTGTAAGCAACAGAGTGTTGATGTGGTGACTTCTCCCCTCAAGATAGCCTCTTTGTATTTATTTTCTTATCCCCTCTGTTTTCACCATCTGCTGCCACCCACTCTAATAGCACCCATGCCAGAGCTCCTCTTCCTACCAGGATGCTGCAGACAAGCTGAGGCACACCAGTGCTGGGGCTGCTCAGGAGTGCCCAGCACTGCAGAGACAGCCTCCAGGTCAGGGTGGTCCTGTGCCTTGCTGCTGCTCCTGTGCCCAGGAGCAGCTCAGAACATCCTCTCCAGCAGTCTTGATGGCAAGTATAAGTTTGTGAGCATACTCCAGGCTAGCATACAAGGAGAAAGGTTTGGGGGAGGGTGGCTGTGAGACCCCTCCTTCTGCAGGAATACCTTGTATTACTGGGGACACGACCATTGGTGTCACAGAGAAGTCTTCTGTGGCTGGTAGGAGGTTTCTCCCTGTCTCTGTCCAGTGACCTGGGGTTGGCTTGCTCTTAGGGACAAAGCTGAGTCTTTTGTTTGGCCTCACGACCACTGAAATACCATCTGAGCTTGGGGAAGGGGTAGCTGCATAAATAGATACTGTTGTAGGACTCAGAGTCCAGGGGAGGGGAAGGAACTGTCAGCAGATAACCTGTGTTTCCCCTGAGAAAATACAGGCCAGATTGGTTATTGAATCAGAAGAAGAACAGAAATGGACCCCAAGGGGAGAGAGACATCTGTTGTCATGGCCAACCTTGTAGGACAAGAAAATTTCCCACTAAAATAGTTTCTATGGACAGTGCTGGCCTTTACTCTTGGTCTGGAACTGTACAGTCATGCATATCCTCTGCCCAGCCCTGCAGGGGCTGAAGTGAGTGCCATCTATTTATAGCTCAAATTCTCTTTGTTGGGGCTCCCTGCAGAGCTGGCATGCAGAGGAGCCTCAGTTTTGAGCCTGGAGCTTGCCTTGATGCAAGAGTGGGAGAGGAGATGTGGACAGGAGAAAAAGGTAGAACTGGCTGAAAAAGGGAGAGACTACATACACCCAAAAAGAAGAGATGTTCAAGGAGTGAGGTGTGAACAACGGGACCTTGAGTGATCCTCCAAGAATAACTGATGCACAAAAATACCCATATATCCTTATGCTGCCTACTGTGAAGAGGGATTAGAGTTTTGTAATCCCTACCCAGCCAGTGTGAAGCCCAGCACAGTTACACAAGAAGGGATGCAGTGGTTGGGCTGTTTGAGGTTCAGTGATGGTCCCTGTGCAGCTGTACTCGCTGCAGCCTTATTTCCTAACCAATGAAGTTTGTGCCTGTTGTGCTACAACAGAGACACAACCATCTTGTGGCTGCCTGGTGAGGGGCAGGAGAGTAGGTTTCCAGATGTGCCACAGCCTAGTCCTTCCTTACAGCTTTAAGGCTTTTAACATGTTTGGGCAATACAAAGCTATCAGCACCGTGCTGCTCCGGGAGGAGGCTTGTGGGGCACTTCCATAGCTGTTCTTCCACCTCAGCCAGAGGCTGTCTGCTTCACAGGGACTGGGGGTGTAGCTGAGCTGCTATTTGATGCAAGGATGAGGAGCCCACAGGGCATCTGGAGCCAGTGGTGAAGAAAGTCTGTATTGGGTGGCTGGGGGAAGCCTGTGCTCCAGAAAATTGTTGGCCTTTTCCAGGGTGCCAAGGAGGAAAAGATTTTGACCCAAGGAAGAGAAGGTGAGAGTAGGCTGTTCAGTGTTCTAAAAGAGGGGCTGTAAACTTTCTAGATAAGCCAGTTTGGCCAATGGCAATTAAAAAGTAATTTGTACCACGTTAGACAGCTAGGCTCAGGGCAGTCACTGTTATCCCTCCTGGATGCTGCATCACTTTACAAGTTAGTGATTTCCTTGTAAGTCATGCATTCACACAGTATTTCCTTGGAGCTTCTGCTGCGTGTCTCTGTGGTACCTCAGTGTCTGACCTGGCCTTGCTGGGGGAGCAGTGGGTGGGAAGCATCCTGCTGATCTGTCTGCACAACGTGCTTCTGGACAGTTCAGGCTAGGAGCCTACTCAGGTTTTCAGAGTATGGGATTTACTGGGACCAGCAAACTGGATTAAAGCAGTGCAGTTCCCCACTTGGCACCTTTGGTTTCCCCTTCCCTGGGGACAGGGCATGGTGCCCATTCTTTGTCCTCAGCTTTGGCAGAAAGTGGGCCCCATCGAGGCAGACACGAAGCCCCAGTGTGTATCTTCACAACTGGGAATATCTGGAGAGTGAAAGCAACTTAGGCTCGTGGCAGCCTTCTCTTCCTTCATCTCTACTGGGTTGCTCTTTGTGGCTTAGCAGCAGCATCTGCCTGCCCATGGTGGGCTCAGCACAGATGCCGTTGGGCTCAAGCACGTTTTGGTGTGGTCAGGCTCTGCTGCTTGCAATGGGACTCAAATCAGGTATACCTGACATGGGTCTATGGTGCATTTTATCTGGCCTTACTGTGTCAGCTCTGCTCTGCTAATGGTTTTGATCTGCAGCCACCTGTTAATATTTATCCTGCTGATGTATTCCCTTTATTCTCCTGTAAGTGAAGCACACCTCACT